GGAGCTCCATGAAGAGGGCAGGGCAGGTGGCCCCTCCCCACCAGCCCTGGGCCCCTCCCTTCCCTTGGTCCTGAGTGCCCTGCTCAGGGCACCCACTGCTTTCCTTTGGGCCCCAGCTCTCAGGTAGAGGCCGAGAGCCCACGCCTTGGCCCGAATTCTAGGCCCTGTGCCGCTGCCTCAGCCATCCGGGACTTACCATCATAAATCCCCAGTCAGCCTCCTGGGTCAGGCCTCCCAGGTCACCCATGGGAAAGCTCACTGGGCACAGTCTTCTGCTGGAGGGCATGGCCAGAGCTGCTCCAGGAGGACACGAGAAGACCTAGTGGCCTGGCTGTCTCTCTTGCCCAGAGGGCCACCCTTGCCACAATCTCCTTTTTGCTTTCATTTGATCTGTTTAGAATTCTCACAGATAGAGCTCATGGAGGGCTCTGGGAAGCTCAGGAGAGAGGAGCAGATAGGTAGGCAGGAATGACAGGAGGCGAGGCACACAACTTCCCTGGCTTGTGCTTGGGAGGTCTTCAGATAGGTAGGCAGGAATGACAGGAGGCGAGGCACACAACTTCCCTGGCTTGTGCTTGGGAGGTCTTCACTATTCTCTCATCTCATAATTTGGGGCGCATCCTCTAGTCGGCGTCTGGGTATTGGCTGTATCTGTCTGTCCTTTGTTTTCTTGGAGAAGAGTCAGTAACTGACAACTGCCATCTCCAGAATAAGGTGCAGTTTGCGCAAGAATAGCTCCTTCACACCAGGTTTGAAAAGCAAAGCAAGATCTTTTTTTTTTTTTTTTTTTAATGGGAAATCTACCTAAGCTGTTAAAAATGTTTATGCAAAGCTAATTGAGGGAAATAAAGAAATGGGTCATGGGCTACCTCTATTGTTAAATTGTTGCTATCCTATTAAGAAAATAAAAACAACTTAGAAAAATGTTACTGCCTACAAATTTTTGTAAACTGTAAAAGTATTGGAGATTCGTTCTACTTACATTCTTTTTTTATTTTTTATATTTTTTTCATTTTTTTACATCATTGCAAAGCAAGATCTTATTTCAGAACAAATGTCATTCACAGCAGCAGGGATGGAGTGGAAGGGATTATGCTCCGTGCAGTATATCCGAAGGAAAAGATAAATATCGGATGGTTTCACTTATAGGAGGAATATGGGGGAACCAAACAAAAGGTCAAGAAAAAGACAACACTTGCATGAGGACCATAGGTCTGACGCATACAGCAGGGGAGGGGGGAGGAGGGAGCCTCAAAACAGGGGAGGGAAGCGCACAAGGAACTACCATGCTGGGTCACGGATGACATGGTGGCTGGAGAGCTATGAGGGCTGCACCTGAGTGTACAGTACCAATTACTGCACAAAAATGAACAGTGATGTAAAGAAAATAACAACAACAATAACAAAGGCCTTATTTTCAGGTCGGACAGTGGAGAAATGAGGAAGTTGAGTTCCAAAGCACCTTTCTCCCTGGGCTTGGGGTGAGATGAGGTTGTCAGGCTTTGGGGCGGGGCTGCTGCCTGTGCCCCACGTTCTTGGTGGGGAGTGAGCCGAGCATTAGCTTTTTCATCCCATGTCAGCGATGGGAAGGCTGGGCTCTGTGGGGTGCTCACAGTCTCCACCCCTCCTTCTTGCTTCTCTCTACCAGCCGGTTTTATTTTCTGTCCTACCGCATCCTGGCTTTCTCTGTTCACCCCAGAAACCGAGAAGTCTGCTGGAGCAAGGGGGAAGATTCTGTTGCACAAACTGGGTGATTCTTGCTACAGTAGCCTGGGGAACAGTAGGAAGTTGTGAAATGGAGGGGGGCTGAGCACCAGTTAAGGGGTGTGCATCACCCCCCACTTCCTGCCCCTGCTGCCTGCGACACACACTCAACATCACACACACAGACATTATCACTCTCCTCACAGCCAGGCTTTTCCTTCTCCAGGGTCTCTCATAGATGCCTGGGCTTGATACCATCTACCTTCTGCCAAATCACACACAGTTACAGCCTGTGCTGAAGGGACCCGGCTCCCAAACTCTCCCATTTCTGCAAATAGAGAAGGACGTCTCCTGAAGGACCTGGGTACTCCTGGTCAGCAGTGCTGGGGAGCGATTAATCTTGGGGCAGCAGAATGTTACTGACTGGTGGAGGGTAATCACAAACAGTACCGGGAGCCTCTGCATTGGAACTCCACATCCACGTCTGGATGGCTGTGAGCCATTTGTCTAGCAGAGATCTGGGGGTGTTTCCAAGCGGGGGAGCCAACCTGCAGGCGTTGAAACCCCAACTCCACCATTTACTTTGTGTGAGATGCAAGGATGTTGCTTTGCATTTCTCAGTTTTGGCTTCATTCTAAAGGGAGAGAAGTACCTGTTACTGCAGTGTTTGTGGTGGTTAATTTTATGTGTCGATGGGCTGGGCCGCAAGGTACCCACATAGTTGATCAAACAGTATTATGGAGGTTTCTCTGAGTGTTTTTGGGGGATCAGATTAACCTTAAATGAGTGAATTTGACTAAAACAGATGATTGTCCACCGTGTGGATCACTCTCATCCCATAAGGTCTGATTAGAGCAAGCCTGACTCCATGGAGCAGAGGGAATTCGGCCAGCAGGTGGCAGCAACACCCAGGCTGCCAGGTCTCCAGACTGCAGGCCCATGCTGGATTTTGGAATTGCCGGCCTCCATAATCATGAGAGCCAGTTCCTTCAAATAAACCTTTTTATATGAACACATCATATGGGTTTTGTTTGTCTGGCTAACACAGAGTTGTCACTGGGGTTAAAAATTCATACGTGGAACAGGGCAGGGATGGTGCTGCACTAGTGGACTGTTCACGCATTTCTAGGCTCAGCTTCAAGGATGCCTGTGCACTCTCCCTCTTTGAATTCACCTCCAGCTATTTAAAATATCTTCAGCAGGGACAGGGGGGCCGATTGGTCTCCTCCCAAATCAGGTACTCTTTTCTTAGAGCTGGCATGGAGGAAAGTGGGAACATCCCAACTCCCTGTCTGCAATGACTCCTACTGGGGGGTCCTAACAATCCTTATAGCTCTAACTGGGAGCTAAAGGAGTCAGCTAACTTGGGGTCAGCTCCTGGGACAGATCCTGAACTATTGACTCCACCTGTGCTTCTTGGTGGAGAGGATCAGAGCTTCCTCTAGGGAAATCTAGATTTTACCTTGAAAATGAAATATATTAGGACTAAGTAATCGGTCCTGTTCTGTGCAGTATGATACCTAGCAAGGCAACACAAGCAGATAGTTCTGTCCTCACGGTATTCCCCATGTTTATGAAGTAATTAAAAGAGGATTTGGGCCATTTGGAGAAGAAACACACTCTCAAACAAACAGGGGATATTTGCCCCTTAAGATACACAGTAGGGCCTCCCTGGTGGTGCAGGCATTAAAGACAGCACTATCAAGCTATCACCAGCCACTGCAGCATGAGTTCAATCTCTAGCCAGCCAGGGAGCTACCCACATGGCACAGAAGACCTCTCCTGTCTCGCCCACTGCTCCCCTCAGCGGTGTATTTTAGTCAGTCTGCCTGTTCTGTTCCCCGCTCTGTCTCTGGTAGATCCTCTCATCCCCCACACCTCTGGCCTGTACCCCAGTTCTTGTATGCATAAAAGATAAATATACAGTACACTTGGCACACTCAGCAGGATACAGCTGTACTGGAATCCCTTCAAATCAGTGAGACCACCGTGCAGACTTTCTCATCTTGGAAGTGGAGAGCCAGAATCGGGTACAAAGTCCTGAGGATTTTATACCTTCCTCACAGGTTTGTTTTACCTGGGGCCAGAGAGCAGTCACCACTACCTGGATCCTAGGAAAGAATCTCTTCATGTGTAGGTGACCTGCTAGACTCCACTTTCATAGTAAGACTGCTCCCAGCACTGGGATACAACACCCTCAGCTCCAGAGGCATCACGGACAGAGTCAGCCACATGTATGGAACCTGTGAGCAATGTGACCTGAGCAAATGTCGGGGGCCTGGAAGGTGGCACCACCACCTGCTCCTGATCAGCAGGGTCTGATGCCACAGGTGTGAGTCTTCCCTTCTCGGTCTTGTCCATGCCTGCGCACGAGCCCTGTTGAAGTCTTCTCAGGGTAGTGGTGGGGGGTTAAGAGGTGCTGATTCTCTCATCCACCTGGTGAGGGTGGAACCAAGGGTGGTATCCCCCACTTTCTGCGCTGAACACGATCTGAGCACATGCATGTATGACTATTAACCTTCAGAACAACCTCAGAGACAGGGAGGCCAAAGAAGAGACCCCAGGGGTGTGTAGTGGAGAGTGGGGGTGCAGTGGAGCCCAAGTGGGTGGGACCAAGTGGTGGAGACTGAGGGAGGAGGTGACTGAGCTGTGGGAGATGCAGCCGCTGTGCTGCTGGGTCCCTGGGGGTAGCATGAGGCTTTGCTTTCATGAGTTGAGAACAACATTGGAAGAAATGTTTTAATACCAGGTGATTCAATTCTTAGATTACTGATTCACTGGGATGATGAGAGCGGCATGCTCACTTGGGAATTATTACTAGAGAAGGATGAATTATCAAATGGACTGTTTGGTGGCCGTGGGGGAATTAATGGGTGTATTTTGAGAGAGTTTTGGAAATGGAATCTATAGGTCACCTGTAAATAAATCCTCACTTAACATGCACCATGTACGATGGTGGCAGTGGAAATCAACTGATGAGCAGATTAGACGTGGTTCTGCCCTCAGCTTACTATCTAGTGTGTGCGGGAGACCAGCAGCAAAGCAGGAGGGACAAGGCAATGTGCTGACGCTTGGCTGGGGACACAGGTGCCTCAGTGGCACAGGGCAGTGGGACCGGAGCCTGGAGTCAGGACGTGTCTCCATAGGAGGAGACATCCTAACTGGGACCTCACCTCCATCCTCTGCAGCTCTGCCTCACCCTCTCCTGGCACCGGGCCTCCATCTGGACTCCAGTCAGAGACAGACAACAGACCACACAGAAAAACACAAGCTCAAGTAAAAGATTTTGTTCACGTATCTGATTTTGTTCCTATCAAAAACCAAAGCCCTCAAGGTGTCCATTGTCATTGTCTCAGCAGAAGTAGCCAGTGCCATTTCCCCTACTCATCCTTCCTCTGGATGCCCAGGGATGGTCCACCCCATACAGGCTCTGGGGGACGTCCTGCCAGGTCCTCAGGTCCAGCTCCAGCAGGCCATTCCTTGAGGTGCTGTCACCCACGTGGGCAGCTGCCTGTGAAAGCCAGGGGGGCAGCTGAATGCCTGGGTGGCACCCCTGGGCATGGACATCACTGCCCAGTGAGGGGTCACCAGTGCCCATAAATTTACAGTGAGAAGGCAACTCAGATGCCACTTGTTCAGAGATGAAGAAACTGAGACTTAAGAGCGGTCAGGAGAGCCAGGACTCACAGCAGGTGTGCAGAGGTCACCTGCCAAGCTGGGCAGGAGCCCCTCAGTGTCCCCCACTGTCCCCCTTCTCCCAGAGTTCACCAATTAGATGAGGATGGGTGTCCTTCAGGGCCTGGTAGAGGCGATCTTTGCAGGCCCAGTTCCAGGACCTGCTGAAGCTGAACAGCTTCCGCATCTGACTCGGCTTGGTGCCCTCGGCCCTGACGGTCTCATACTGCTCGTCACTCAGCACCTGCCCATGCAGCTTGTCCAGGATGGGGTCCACTGATGTCACTCGAGCCACCAGCTGCTCTCGACACTGGTCCACAAAGTGTAGTAAGGCCGGGGCATCTAAGGGTGAAGATGAGGCTAGAAACAAACCAAGAGGAGTGCCCACGGCGACCTCTGCCCTGACTCCCACCTCCAACTCTATTCACTCACTTCATCTGCCTCTCTGGCTTCCCCCACCCCTGTGATGCTCTTAACCACCAGAAAGGCACCTCTTCCCTCCCTCATGTCAGCATCTAGTCTAGCATTCTGCTTCAGCTGGGGCAGGGATGGGGGGAAGTTCATAAGGAAGCACTGAGTCTCCCATGAGGTGCGGCTCCATGGGCAGGAGTAGAGGTGGGAGGAACCTGCCCCGGCACACACCACTCTCTAGGGCCTGCCCCTGTGGGCTTGCAAGATCTCTTCCCTCCTCCAGGGCCACATGGCGAGCCCAGGTCTGCCCCTGACTCCTGTGTCTCTCACAGCTGCCACTGACCTGGCGGGGCTGGAGGATCCAGTGTGGGTGCAGGTCTGAGGTCTCCTGAGGACACAGAGAGAAGCATTTGAACAGTGCGGGGTATTAGTCCACATGATCCCCAGTCGCTTACCCCTTCTGAGATCCTGTGATTCTGAGAATAAACTACAGACAGATTGTGATGGAATCTAGAGTAAGGCTGGAAGGGTCCTTGGAGATGATCTAGGCAAATCTCTTCCTTAGGCAAATGGGTCCACTGAGGCCAAAGGACATGATATGAGAGAGAGAGATGGAGAGAGACCCAAGGGAACAACAGCACCTCCCCCCCCAAACATTTTAGACACGGTTACATCCAGTCTTGATCTGATTGGAGCCCTGGTGCAGAATTTAGCAAGTGTCTTGCTAAAAAGATGAAACTATTTGAGATCTGGTATCTTGAGCAAAAACAGTCTGCAGCCAGGTAAGCAGACTTTCCCTTCTTGGAGAACGAGTCAAGGCTGTTTTGCTTTTCCTGCCCCCTTGCTCTCTGATGCCCAGTCCACACATGTCCACACAGAGCAAAGATGTTTGTTCTGGACTTTGGTATTAGAATCAGTCATTGAGGTCAGGAAAAACTTAGCACTTGGAAGCAATGGGTAGATGTCCACAGCTAGGAAAAAGCAAAAATCACCAGCACCACTAACAAAAGAATGGATTTACACAATTACTTGCATGAGGTAGGAAAAGGGACCTGCATCTATTCATGTGCACAAAATCTGGGAATTGATCACCCAATTTCAGAGTCACCTGACTGTGGGTGGGGCCCAGGGAGATGGGAACTCAGGTTTTGGTGCTGGGAGCACTGGGTTCATCTGGGTGAGAGGGGGAGAGTGTCCCTCATCCTCTAAGATGACGGGATGGCCTCAGAGTCCATCCTGGCTCAGCCACAATGGGAGCACCTATGAGGAAGGCGGCGGGGATGGAAAGGGATGTAAACCATGTATGAGGAACTGGGGATCCCAAATGTGTGTAAGTGGAGACTTAATGCAGCCAACGAGCAGTCTTCATGCACCTGACGGGCTTTCCCACGGGACGGGGGCAGACTCTTCTGTCAGCCCCAGGGGACAGAACTAAGACTGTGAGGAGGAGGACATGGATTCTTAAGAGGACAAAGAATCATATTGCCAGTAGTTACTGAGAACCACGGCATGAGACATGCACAGTCACTGTGTTTACTCTATCCAACGTCCCACAAGTTAGGCAATCTGATCCTCATTTTACAGATGAGGAACCTGAGGCTCAAGCAAGTGGGTAAATTTCCCAAGATCACCCAGCGAGTGAGAGCCAGAGTGGGACTCAAACCCGGGTCTGCACTGGGGCTGCTGGTTCACAGCTAGGGTGGCTCCTAAGCTGGGACTGAATCAAGTCCATGCACTTTGGCCCGTGCTGTGCAGTCTGTTTGCAGTGGCTCAAAAGGCAGATTCTCTCCATTTCAACAGCTGACAAGGGCTGGATGTCCCTAAAAGGACTACTTAAGGCACCTGGTTCTTGGACTAAAAGATTTTAAAATTTCTTACTTTCCTGAAAGTTCATTATGTTTCCTTGTTTTCTTTCTGAAAAATACTGCAAACCCAGGCCAGGCCAGGCTCTCTGATGTTGTCAAAATTGGCTAATCCATGCATCCATCTAATATCTAGGGGTTACTGTTCATCTTATATATGTAAACTATCATGAGAAAGTTTGCCAAAGGCTTTGAGGTTGTCAAACTCTGTCAATTCAAGAGTGCTGTGAATACACGATGTGCATGGGGGTGATCTGGAGCAAAGATTTACTTAATTCAAATTCTGGTTATGTCAGTTGTGATATGACTAGAAAAAGCCATATAAGTTCTCTGGACTATTTCTTCTCATCAGCCAATATGTGTACACACACAGGCACACACACACACAGACACACACACACACAGGCTGATTTTTCCTATCGCTGAGCTGTCTGGACTTGTCTTACTTTACCTGGTTTCACCAAGGCCTCCCACACCACAGTCCTGTCTTTCTTGTTCTTTATTTGCAGCCGGATCCCTGACTCTGACTGTCCAGTGTAGATCTCACTGAAGAGCTGTATCTCCCTGGGGCTCCGGTAGCAGAGCTCCAGTTCCTGAGCAGAGAAAGAGCAGTCATGTGAAAAGTCACTGTTCATCCTGCAAGGGGTGTCTTTCTCAAGCTCACATCTTCTTGATCCTGCTTAGCCCCCTAGGGATACTCAGATGATCTGTGCTGAAATATTTGCCACCTTCACACGATGCTCTTTCTTTCTAATTTCTACAAATTGTGACTCAGAAGTGAAGACATGGCATAAAGGAGACAGGACCGATCTTAAATGCAGTGATCACACACCCTGGCCAGCTCTTTCTCCCTTTACATCCCTTATCTTCAATCGAAGTCTTCCTCTACTCCAAAGCCTATTTTTTTTTAAGAGATTTATTTATTTATGCATGCAAGAACTTGGTACAATCCAGGGGTTTGGGGGATGAGAGGATTCACTAGAGACAGAGAGGGGAACAGAATAGGCAGACTGACTGAAATACACTGCTGAGGGGAGCAGTGGGTGAGACAGGAGAGGTCTGCTGCATCATGTGGGTTGCTCCCTGGCCGGCCAGGGATTGAACTCCTGCTGTGCTGCAGAAGCTGCGGATAGTTTCACAGGGTTGTGACTTAATCCCCTGTGCCATCAGGGAGGCCCCCAAAACCTATTTTTGGATGGATCGTAATCTTCAACTACTTTCAATCAATAGAAACCTTATATCCATCTCATCTAAGTCACATTGAAGACAGAGCTCCTCATTCCCACTGCTAATCCAAACATGCTCATCCCCACATTCCCCAAACTCAGCAAATGGCATCACCCCCACTGATGGCTCAGGTTCCACATTTAGGCATTCCTCTCAACTCCTTCCTTTTTCTCCCCCCACAGTTAACCTAACAAACCCCACTGGCTTTACTTTCAAAATACACTCTGACTGTCATTGATCTCCATCTCCACTCCATGCTTGGTTCCATGATTCCCAGTTTAATAATATGTATCACTCCCTTCAACACTGGACACCTATTCCCTCTGTCATTGTCACATAGGATGGTTCCAAGAGTCACACAGAAGGAGAAAGATATTCCCTGGTTCAACTGCAGGTGAGCACACTGGGGACACTACAACCCTGAGCTAAGATTCTGTGCAACAGTGAGGCTAGCATGTCTGGATGAATGTCCTGGGCATGTTCCCAACTGCCTTTGACTAAAAGTAGAGATTGAGAAGAACAAGATGTGGTTCCTGACATCCAGAAACAGATCTTTTATGCTCACAGCAAGACCTCATCGGGATGACAACCTCATATTAGCCTTGTCATTCTGTTGGTCATGTACAAACACCCATTCTTGGATTCATGTACAACCCACAAAATACCCAACACCCCTCTCCCTGCCTGCCTGCTGCTTGAGCAATCATAACTTCCCCTTGCTGTGCCTGTCCTAGCTGAGAGAAGATCTGCTGAAGCTCCCAATCATAGACAACACCCAACCAAGAGAAACTCTCCATGGTCTCAGATTCTCCCAAATTCCTCAAGGAAGCTCCAACTCTTACAAGTTTCTTTGTAACACCCTCTACTGAGAGGCCCCAGGGGTCTCCCAGGTGCGTGTTCTTGCTTCACAATTATTAAACTCATCATTCTGGTGGTTTTGGCTGAGAGTGGGGACCCCCTAAAGCCCAGCACCTCTGACTGCCTCCAAGTCATCCTCGTCCTTGTTCCCATATTGCATGTGACCCTCCATTTCCGCTCTCCCCAAATCGAGTTGCTTTCTGCTCAACCCTGTCGCCCTCTGTCCCTGGAAAAGCCAAACACCTGCCCCATGGGTGTCCCCAAGCTTGACCTCTGACCCTAGTGAGTGGTGACCATAGGCGTTGTGTGTCACCTGGGGGATGATCTCCATCTCCTCTGACCCAGACACGGTGAAGCGGGAGCCCACGTAGAGGGGGGTCAGCGGCGGCGGCTTATGTATACGTATGAACTGGAACTTCTTTTCTTCATCATCTATGGCCTAAGGTGCAAACAGAGCAAAGATCAAGGGGGGAGGGGCTTCTGGCTCAGACACTCTGCCCAAAGGTATCTGCTTAGAACAAAGGGAAATGGTGTTTCTGTGTTTGTGTGGATGGAGGGAGCTATTTGATCTCTTCTTCCCTCCCCTGTTCACTGCCACACGGAGAGCCCATATGTGGCCTTTGCTGCGTGCAGGATGGGGATAGGGTCACTGGCAAGGAGTGAGAGTGGGGAAAGGTGCAGCTCTGGGCATGGAGCCCTTGGACTCCTGGGAGGCTTGCCAGAGATCAGCGATGGAGCAGCCAACTGGCTGGGGAGGCTTTAGGGAGCCAGGACACCAGTCCATGGCTGAGCAGGGTCAGGATTATTTGTCCGCTTCAAGGTTTTTGCTTAGAAAGATCCATCCTTATTCTCAGCTGACCCATTCTGTGTCTCTCAGCTCCATTTCATGTTTGCTGCCTAGACCCAGCCTCCCTGGCACTGTTACCACCTTGCGGATGGAGCAGTCACTGGGGATCAGGTAGAGGTGGAAGGTGACTTCCTCAAGGTGGAGGTGATGGTAGAGCAACACGGTGGAGGTGATGGGAATGAAGCGCAAGGCAGCTTGGATCATTCTCAGTACAACCCCCATGGGGGAGAAGCTGGGGTTCTCTAGGACTGTGTAACACGCCTCCACCCTGGCCGGCTTCTCCAGCAGCATCCCCTCCTCTTTGAAGTGGGCCACGTGGAACTGGGATGTGTCCACCATGTCTCCTGTCAAGGAGTGGATTCAAGAGGTAAGGATTTACTGTACCAGGCTTGGCTGGGAAGGGGGATTCTGGAGAGTAGACCTTATGGGCCCCCTGGCAGGGGGAGGTGGCATGCCTGAACCCAGGGCTTTTTGGGATTGAGGGCAATGTTTTCTCCAGGGAAAGAGCACCACACAAATACTCTGGAGACAAACCTTACACAGGCCAATCCCCTGCCCTAGATGAGCAAGAGAGTAACCCCCTGGTGACCTGTTCCCATGTGAATTTGTAATTGTGCCTATGGGTGGATGCTGGTGGGTTTGGGTCCAGGCAGGTGAGGAACAAGGAATAGGGAGGGAAGGGGGGGTGGAGTGGCCAGGGTTGTATGCTTTTGGCGAGACCCCCCTCTTCCATCACTGTGTGGGTCCTTGCGGGAGAGAAGTCGGGACACTGGGGCCGGGACTCCCTGGTTGATGTGATGCGGGTGTGGGACCGAGAACTGATTGGGTGATGCTTCTCACCAGGACCTTGTAGCACAGGTGAAAAGACAGAGATTTCCTTGGCAGCAGCGGTGGGTTAAAGTCCAGAGGCCCTGCCGCAGCTGTGTCTGCAGCTGAGGTGTCTCCACATTTGTCTTGGAGTGACCTTGACTGTGTCCTTGGCTTCTTAGCACTGTCTCACCATTACTGTGTCCACTCCTTTTGTGTTCAGTCCTACCATGTCCAGTCTTTTGTTAAGTCTAATAGCTACTCAAGAATTACCCTACACATTTTTTTTTTTTTGCTTAAATCAACCAGAATTGATTTATTTGATTACAACTAAGAGGTCTGACCATACCACAGGTGAGGACATTGATGCCATGAGGAAGCTTGAGGGATACAGGTTGGTCATGGAGAAACATGGCCTAGAGGTCAAGAGTCCTGGCTCCGTCCCCATGTTGCCCAGTAACTGCGGACAACAGAGTGACATCCAGCCAGCTGGACTAGGCCCTTGGGGGGCAGGGTCACCAATGAGGCCATCACTGAGTGATATTAACACCAGAAGGGGCCCTGATAAAGTTTTCTTAAGTTTTCTCATTCATTAAATTCTTCTTTTTGTGTGAAAATAATATCACAATGCAGATATCAAATGCAAATAATATATAAAAATGTGAATAATATCTAAAAATGAAAATTCACCTCTGACCTTACCAAACAATACAACATTATTACCACCTTTCCCTTTGCCACCAGTCTTTCTCTGACCTTCTTTCCCATTATGAGTTCACATTGTCACAGCTTTTCTAGCCCGCGGCCTTCACTTCTCCTTCTCTAGAAATCTGAGGGCTTCTCTCCTTTGGACCTGCCCTTGGCTGATCACTGGGTAATGAATGATACAGGTGCTGGAGTTTGCCTTCAGCTAAAGCCCTCACCAGTTCTGAGCTGAGCCAGTCACCTAAACTTGCTATGCATCATTTGCAAAGTGGAGCCACCAAGTTTCAACTCCCAGAGCGACTGTGAAGATTAAGTGAGTTTGTGTCTGTAAAGCACTTGGGACAACCAGGGCTACCTGCCATGGTTAGTGGTGAAACACAGTTTCACCAAGAGTGTCACAACCTGCTATTTGGATCATTGTATCCCCCCCCCCCCCCCGCCAAACACCCAGGCCCACTCCTCCTGGGAACCTTCGTGTCTGGGAGGAAAAGGTGCTAAGGTCCTTGGAAGATGCATTTTGCTCACCCTGAGACATTCCACACTCTCCATCGTGGTACAGTTTAGAGGTGTTTTTCCAGGCTTAAAAGTTTGAGGCGGTGGGATGCATGGTGGTTTCCAACAGTTATGGCAGGTGTGCTCCTGGGCAGGTGGGGAGGGCAGAGGGGGCTGGAGTGATCTGCCCAGGTGACTTGGGAACATCCTCCTGCCTATGGGCAGCTCAGAGAGCAGTGAGCACTCCAGATGAGTGCACTCACTTCCTGGGAGGATGGGCCCTGGGGGAGTAGGGGTTCGAGTTGCTGGAGGATGTGGCTGGTAGGGGAGTGTGGGGTCCAGAGGGACAGGATCACCTTCGTGGACACATGGTCTGTGCAGTCACACAGAGCTCTGTGCTCTGAATGACCTCACACCCGTTTTAGTATGGAATGTTACCATCTTCTAACTCTTAATAACTTTTTGAATAAGTGAGCCCATATTTTCATCTTTCTGATCCCCTGTGGAGTTGGTCCTGCAGGAGGTGAGAATGCCCAGAAGTCAAGGTCTCTGAGGCCCTGGGGTGAAGCTGAGATGCTGGAAGCTCTGAGCTCTGTGTCTAGTGGGAGACTCTCATCAGGGCAGGTTAACAGCTTCATGTGGAAACTTCCTGTGGCAGTGAAGCAGCCAGTGCCCTTGTTCTAACTTAGGCCACGCTAGACAGTGATCATTGTCTACAGGACAGCAAACAGCTGGGCCCAGACCACAGACATCAGGGACCGCTTGAAGGGGCTTGGTTTCCAAGCTGGGCATGAAACAGGTGATCTACAAGCCATCTTTGTATGTTTTGCCTCTTACTCTGTGTACAGAAGCCAAATGGACCAGTTCTCTATGGCCACAATTCCTGGTCCAGAATCAACCAAGAGAAGGCTGGGGAGACCAGGGCTCAGGCAGACCGGGGTGAGTGTGGGAGTAGCTCTTATTCTGGTTAATATGACCAGAATTCCAACTCTGGTTCAAATTCCAACTCTGGTCTAGACTCTTCACGAATCTGAGCCTAATTTCCTCACTGGTTCATCAGAGGAGCCACTGGGTCCTCATGACCCAGACATCACTGTGATGTCTGACCCCTTTATGGGGCTGATTCTACTGACTATAGTTTCTGCTGTTTCTTCTTTATGGAGCTTTATTTGCTGTGAGAGTTTTGATTGTGATCTCACTTTGTTTTGCAGCTTTATGTATGGGAAGTCTTTGTAGGGTGAAAAAGGTTGAGAAGTCCCTCTTTCATGGTTCAGTTTTCAACTGTATTTTTGGTGACACTGTTTTTCTCCCTGCCTGTGGGAGTAGGACGACTTTCCATGGGTTGCTAGTCCCTAGGAACTCTGTCAGTTCTCTTACTTTTCTTTGAAAATAGTCCTGTCTTTGAAAAGTCTCCTCAAAGATGCCAAACTCAGTGTATCAGTTTCCTTCTGGGAACTTTAGAGATGGAATCTGTATAAAGAGCACTACGTAAATGCTAGTTACTATTATTATTGAGGACAATATTTTCTATTTAGGAAAACTTAAAGAATTCAGGCCAAAAAGTTAGGATGGTAGGAGACTAAAGTGCTTCCAAAAACCATGCCCAGAGCACAGTGGGATGAGGGAAAAACTGAGTCTGCGCATGAGTCTCTCTTACTCTGGAAGGAAGGTGTGGGCTCCTCCCCTAGGTCATGTTATCAGACGCTCCTTGCAGGCCCATTATTACCCCCATCACCTCCCCCCACCCCTCCCTCTGCTTACCTTGGAGAGACACGAAGTGAGGCAGGTACACAGCTGCCACGGCTCCTGGCTCGGCCTTGATGTCAAACAGAGGCCCTGCCACCATCCAGTTGTGCTGGGGGACAGCCCTGTCCAGGAACTGGTCCCAGGCACAGAATTCAATCTCGATGGTCACTGCCCTTCTCACCACAAAGTGGAGACCCGTGTTGGGCCAGTGGTAGGAGCCGGCCGTGGGGAAGTGAGCTCTGGGCAGAACAGGGACAGGGTGACACTCGTCACAGACTCGCGGGGCACCTGCTGGATGCCCGAGCCCGTGGATGGCAGTCAGATCCAGGAGGGCGGCTGTGAGCCCAGGGATTGGAATCGGCTGGATGAGGGTTTGACTCCTGCTCCTCTGCTCTCTGACTGTGGGCCCTGAGCAAGAACAGAACCTCCCTAATCTCAATTTCCTTATCTGTAACTAGGGGCAACAAGGCCCCGTCTTGTGGAATTGTTTAGAATTGAGAAAGCAACCTGATGCATGGGGCAGCTTAACCCAGGCCCAGGGTGGGTAGCTGTTTCTCTAACAGGGGGTACGGAGTCTGTGCGGGAACCCAGCTGGGGGAGGTGCGGTGTCAGAAGCCAGCCCTGTGCAGGCAGAGCCCCCTTACATACCGGTATAGGGTCCTCTCTTTGTCAATCTTCTCTGTAGCCACAGGCCCCAAGGGGCCCTGGAACTCATCTTCAGACCCCAGAGGCTCCATGTGTGGGTCAGGTAGAGGGGCAGGAGAGGACAGACAGAGGGTTTCCACCTGCATTACACGGGGGGCACTCCCCTCTGAAACAGACAGGGCAGCAGTCAGCTCTGGGATCTTCCACGAGGTCTTCCCTAGCCCTAAGCTTCCCTTTCCAGGGTTGGAGTGCCTGAATCACAGCAGGGAGTGTGTCTGCAGCCTCCGTCCCTGCTCCTGGGGCTGCCTGTCTGCTGAGGAGGCCCAACACTGCTGCCCTCAGAGCATCCCTGCCTGCTCTCCCCAGCTCCCCCTGCTGCAGGGCACTCCCCCAGAAGGCTCCAGGCAGGCAGGCTGTGAGAGGAACGTGGGTCAAATGAGAGTCAGGCAGGGATGGGGGGTGATTCCCAGGTGTCAGAAATCCTTGGGCCATAATAGACAGACCCTGGTTCAGAGTCTGAGGTGTGAGAGGTGCTCTTGAGAGCAGCCATTGACGTGGGAGGGAAAGAAACCAAACCCCAAGACCAAGAGTGGGGTGGGGCTCTCCTGGGGGTGGTCCTGCCCTATCTGTACTTGAGATAGGGGATGTGGGATGATCTTCTACCAACCCCAACACCCCCATAATGAGGCTGCTGCCAGACCCTCACTTCGTGTACCTAATTCTGGTCTTTTCCGCTTGAGTGAGGACACATGATCACTCAGCTCTCCTCTTCCAGGGTCCTCAGCAGGGGTCATCACGCTCATCATCCTGCACACAGAGTTGTTCATATTCCAGCGATCTGGAGGTCACGTGGGGGCTGTCTCCTGACATCCCCACTTAAGACTCTCTCACTGAATATGAACTCACAGTCCCCATCCAAGTTTTCCCTCAGTCCTTGTCTCCATAAATGGGAACCCCGCCACGCAGCCACCCCTGCCAGGACTGGGGTGTCGCCTGACTCTTCCCTCACCCCCCGACAGCTGATGGATCACCTTGGCACTATCTCCAAAATAGGCTCCTTTCCATTCTCTTCTCTCACCTGCACAGCTGCCACACTAATCCCAGGCCCCAGTGTCTGCGCTGGACCAGCTCTGGATCCTTCTACCTTTGTCCCTCCCAGTCCATTGTCTGCACAGCCGCTCATCTTAAATATGAACCTGGCCCATCACATCACTGCTGAAGACCCCAAATGATCCCCATTGATTTTGGGGTAAAATGGAAAGTTTTTAATATTCCCCAAATGATCACACGGTGCCCTGTTCTTCCTCCAAGCCACATGGAAAAGCTCTCCTGCTCACACACCTCTAGACGTGATTGTTAAACTCGGTGTCAAAATTCCCCTGGAAGGCTGGTTAAAACAGACTCCTCGGCTGCCCAAAGATTCAGATCCAGTAGGTCTGCCGTGGGGTCCCAGAATTTGTAATTCTAATTACAAATTAGGGTGCTGTGCCAACACAGCAGGTCCAGGAAGCACGCGGGTAACACTGCTCCAAACACCTGACGCCCACTCCCTCACAGGAGCTGAGCCCCGAACTTCTGCCTGGATCCACTCCTTCTAGGCCCAGCTAACCCTCCCAGCTGGCAGAGCTCACTCAGGGTCAGAGAGGTCCATCCATGACTCCCAGGCCCCGGATGCAACCAGACAGGCCGGGGACTTGTGCTGTCTCCCTGCTGGACTGGGCCCCTGGTGTCTGGCCCTTGCTGCCCCTGTGAGCCTCACACTCTGTGGGCCTCAGGGACTGTTTGCTCCATGATCAGTGGCTCCTCCTCCGTAGCCTACAAGCCCTTTCCCTCCATTTCAGGTGGCGCAGCTGCCAATTCCTGGGGATACATACATTCGCAGTTATGGGGGAGAGGCACCAAACATGGAGAATGAGGGGGCTCAGCAGATTCCCCAGGGAAGAAGATGGATTCTGCAGCCCCTAGGACTTGCCTCTCAAGCCCAGGTGTAGGCTCGTGTGTGTGTGTGTGTGTGTGTGTGAGGTTGGTAGACGCTCTTTTTCCCCCAACTCTCTTTTCTCATTCTTTCCCTGCCCCCCACCCTTGTGTCCTTGCCTTCCATGTTCCAGGTCTCTCCAACTCTTTCAGTTGCTTTCATTTGTTCATCTTCTTATCCACTTACTGGACATATTTGAGGGGAGTGGCAGACTCTACTAATCACAAACAAACAAGCAAACAAACACACAAACAGCCCCCTCTCTGGCTACATTGGTGTCTAGGTGTTTTGCTGGGTCTGTACATGTCAACGCTACCCCAAGTCTCTTTCTAGTTTCTTGGATCTGGACCAGCCCAAGTCCTGGGCCAGCAGGAGGGTCTGTCACCCTCCTCGCTCTCCCCCTGACTCCCGCGCCCTTACTGTCTTCTGGAGACGTGCAGCTGAGGCTTCTCCTCCTCCAGGGCCCTCAGCATCTCTGTCACCTCCTCACTCAGCGGGGCCTGGTCCAGCCTGCAAGCACAGAGGAAGCTGGTTCTGCCGGTGTCTTGGGTGTTATGGGGCGCCCTCAGGCCCAGCATCCCGGAGTGTGCCACCTCCCATGGGAACTGCCTCAGGTCAGGATCCCTGGGGGTCAACTGGGAGATGGAAAGCAGAGTGTAGAGATTTAACAGGGAGTGAGCTTGGGGCAACACCAGGTCTTGGGGAGGGAGAGAAGCAGGCCTGGGCAGAGGGAGAAGCTGGGCTGAGGCAGCTCAATGGGGACCTCAGATGACTCGAGAAGGGGATCTACAGGCAGGAGGACTCTTCAGAGCTGTCCCAAATTGGGTTGAGGGGCCTTTCTACCCCAATATCAGGCAGTGATTGAGTGCAGCATCCTGGGAGGGGGCCTGATGTTGGAGGAGAGATGGCACCCCTGCTGTCCCTGCAGCAGGCTGTCAGTGGTTCTCCCAGTGTCTGGGGGTCACATCCCAAAGGGGATCTGGGCAGTATTTTACAGAGACCGCCACACAACAGCCATTCCCCATGGCTTCCGGGTGACCACCTAGGGGTGGGTTCCGGGTCTCAGAGGCTGAAAGTTTGCTGGAAAGAGAAGCCGAGCCCTGGAGAGGCCCTTCAAGGCTTGGGAGATGGTGAGAGTCAAATGTGCTCGGGGGTGGGGAGCGAGGTGGGGAGTGGGCTGGGGTGGAAGGTGCCAGCCCCCTGGGGATGGCAGTGCCTGGGTGGAAATGGTCAGGATCGGCTGGGAGGACCCATGTGCAGACTGTGTCAGTCCTGCTGTCCTGCCCCGACTGCTCTTTTAGGTCTGAAAGTCCATGATGGAGGCCTGGCTGTGGGAGGCCCAAGGGCCCAGGCTTGGTAGACCCCCTTCTGGAGCCTCTGGGCCTCAGCACAGGAATGGGGGACAAGATGTGGGGGTGTTGGAGGCCCTGCAGCTCTGAGTGTGTGATGGGCCTGGCCAGGACCTAGAGTGATGTTTGCAGGCACACAGCCTGTGTACTTGTCTTCAGGATGTGGAGGGAAGAAGCAACCTAGGAGACAACATGGGGAGGGGCCTTCCTCAACTTTCTCTCTTCCTGGGGTTGTGCCCCTTGACTGGGCAGGGCATCGCCTATGTTTGCTGTAGGTCTCAGCCTGATGTCACCTCCTCAGAGAGGCTTCGGAGGCCCCTGATTCTAATTCTATCTCTCCTCCTCCCCTCATGTAACTTAGCATTTGTAATCTAATATTCATCGTCTTATCCTGAGTAGTTCCTGTCACCATCCTTGGTTTTACATGCACTTTGCTTCATTACAGTCCATGAGGTGGACACGATAGTCCCATTACACAGATGAAGAAAATGAGTCGTGGGTAAAGATTGGTCTGAGGCACAGTGTCAGGGACGGAGTTGGCGAGGAACCCAGCTGGTCACACACGCATCTGTCCCATCCCTTCCCTGTCCAAGGCCACAGTGACTGTCTCCCTCACTCCCCCACCTTGTCCTCCCCTGTCCTCTGCCCTGAGGCTCCAGGTCTTACCCCAGGAGCCTGAGCTGGCAGGCAGGCTGCCTGAGCCCCTCACAGAGCAGCCTCACCCCGAGGTCGCCCAGGTCGTTCTGCTGCAGCTCCAGCTCTGTGAGGCGGGGGCTGGTGCTGAGCGCGGAGGCCAGGTCCTGGCAGCTGCTGGAGGTGAGGCCACAGCGCACGAGCCTGCAGGAGGGATGCAGAGGACACAGTCATTGTCCATGGGCAGTGAGGGCAGCTTAGCTCCTACCTGAACTGCAGGCGGATGGAATCCTGGTGGGGGTCGGTTGACCGATGGGTGGCTCCTGGGGCTAGGGGACGGCCCGGAAGCCCTGGCGTCCAGCACAGCCTGGGTCCTGACTAATTCACGGACCCAGAACCACAGGGAGAGGATGGGAGTGCTCACTGAGGAGGAAGAGGAGCAAGGATGGGGGAAGGGCCTGTTCACTCCTCTGCTTCCCACTATCCCCACCCTGTTCTGTGGTGTGGCTGGAGACAGAGATGCCCTGGGCAGGGATTGTCATCAGGGTGCTTGGAGACAAGCTCATTGTGATCATTTACCTCAAGTTTCCCTTGATGAGTGTAACCTTCTTAGAGGGCAAAATTAGCAAAGGACACACCCTTCTCCAACAATTCTCAGAATTTACTTCCTCAAGGACGTGCTCCCCGGGAGCCGTCATCAGGTCTGTAATTACACATTTGTTAGTGTGGTTTCTTGATTAATGCCAGTCTGGAAAAGAGTGATGAAAGAATCCTGTCTACGTATATTTACCATAAATTGGCACTTAGCACAGCGCATGGACAGAAGCAGCTCAATGAGTATCTTTCGGATACAAAGCCCAGGCCCCATCCTACACTCAGCTCCTTCTGGAACCCCTGCCCACCTGCCTGAGAGCAGACCCCAGGCCAGACTCACCGCAGGGTCTCCAGAGTGCAGTGGGGGCACCTCAGGGCCTCACAAAGACTCTGCACTGCAGAGGGGCTCAGGGTGTTTCCACTGAGGTCCAGCTCCATTAGGCTCCCAGTGACCCCGGAAACGGAGAAGAGAATCTGCCAACAGGCATCTGTGATCGGGAAGTGAGTGAACCTGAGGGAGGGAGAGAGGGGCAGGGGTGACATGACTGTGTTGTGGGGTCTCAGGTACATCTACTCAAAGGCCAGGGACTCTGCCACTCTGAGCACAAGGCCACTCTGGGCAGTGCCATGCCCAAGACTCACCAGCCTCCCCAAACGCCCCTCTGCACCTGCTCCCTTGGGTTAGCTCGCTCGTTCTGCAGCCCTTGCTGTCTTGTCTCGAATTGCTCACTGCGTGAGTCTGTGTCTGCCTCAGTCAGGGATGTGACGGCAAGGGCTGCCTATTTCATATTTAAAAATGTTCAATGATGAGCATGGGACCCGGCACAGAGTAGGAGTTGGGGGATCTGACAGTCCTCTGTAAGCCTCAATGCAGGCACCCCTGTATTCCTTTGCACAGACATTCTGGAGTCTCAGGAAGGACAGGAGGAGATCAGGGAAGGGAATGGATCCTGGGAGAGGTGGCTCAGTAACTGAAGACTGAGTTTCCCCTGGGCCTCTTCGAGCTACGTTTGCCACTGTCCATTGCAACCTCTCTTGTTTTAGCCCAATGTCCTGGTTTCTCCCCACCGGGTCTCTGTTTATGTGCCTAACCGGAACACTCCTGAAGATCCCATGTCAGGCCACCACCACATTCAGTGCCTGTGCTCATAGCTAGGATAAACTCAAATTCCCAAGTTAGAGAACGGATACTGCAGGGATTTAGGGGACAGATTTGGCCATTAAACATCACTGGTGACCTCTACTTTTTAGTGTGTGGGACCAGGCTTAGTGTGAGCATCTCCTGTGCCCAGGATGGTGGAGCCAGCAGATGGAGGGAGGCTGGGTACTCACAGGGCCACATCAGGGGGTTTCCAGGCTTGGCTGTGCTGTCCAGTCCCATTCACTTGAAGCCTTTTCACGTGGCAACAGAATGCCACACAGAAAGTAAACACCAAGAACTCCAATTTGGTTTGAAGAAACATCTTCATCACTTGAAAATGGGCCATTGCTTGTGTGAGGAAGTCCTCGTCCTGAAGCTCATACAAGCAGTGGAGTAGTTGCAGGGAGAGTGGCCGCAGGGAGGGGGTCTCACGTCGGACCTCCGCCAGGGCCCCGTGCAGCAGCTCCTGCCTCCACCCCCCAGGCAGCCTGCTGCTGAAGATGCTCTCTGTCTCTCTCACCCCCTGCTCACTCAAAAGGCCAAATAGGAAACGCATGGTTGGTGACCCAAAGGTGTCATTTCCACTAGTTAGTCTTAGGAACTTCCCCACACCTCTGGTGCTGCTGGGATCATCGCTGGCCTTATCATCTCCCAGCACACAGGACACAGCTGCCAGGAACTCCTGGAGGCACAGGTGAATGAAGCTGTAGCTCTCAGCCACGCGGTGCTTTTGAAGAACACCCATCTGCAAGAGGGTGGAGACTACGGTGCCTTCTATGCCATGCTCCTTGAGGTCTTCCATCTTGAAGAGGGTCTTTCTATCCCACATGCCCTCAGCAGCCAGAGAGCACAAGCCCTTCAGCTGAGTCCCCAGGGGCTGAGTGGGCAGAGCCTGGGAAAAGTACTGTAGACAGAGGGCCGTGGTGGTCTGGGGCCTCAGCGAGAGCTCTTGTCCCTGCTCCATCTGCTGCCTCAGGCACGTGCAGACCAGCCAGGACACCCAGGGCACCAGACACATGGCCCAGAGCGCGTGGTTTGACTCAGCCAAGCTTAGGGCTCTACGTGCTTGGCCTTTATCTGTGAAATAATTGCAGAAATACTCCTTCTTGCCTGACTCTGAGAATCCCAGCACCTCCACCCACTTGGGCTGTTTTAAGGCAGGAAGGAACTTCTGCAGGGCTGTGGTCCGCACGGTCACCAGCAAGGACACTGTGGGAAGTAAGGTTTTCTGCAGCAGGCAAATCAACAGTGTGTGCACTGGCCGCTGTTGGCTCCAGTGTAGACCCAAGTCGGCCTTCTCAGCCCCTGAGACCCACTGTAGCTCATCCAGACCGTCGAGGATGAAGAGCAGCTTCTCTGGTTGAGAGAGGATCTGGCCAATGGCAGCCTCAGGGGCAGCCCCGACTTCTGTGATGAGCTCAGCAAGAGTCATTGTCTTTGCTGGGAGTTGACTGCAGTTGAAGTAGAAGACGTGCAGGAAGCGGTCCCTGTACAGCTGGCCTTCCTCCCAGGCCCTCCTCACCTGCCTGGCCAGTGTAGACTTCCCGACCCCAGCATCTCCGTGCAGTATGACCGTGGGAAGCTCCTCCTGGGCACCCAGCCCCGGGCCAAAGAAATCTATGATGTTAATAAAACGCCCTGGTTCCCCCACCACCGCAAACTCATGGCCTCTGGGGTGACTTGTGTGTAGAAGTAACAGCTGTATGAATTTTTGGTCTGAATCCTCATTTTCCAATGACTGTGTGGAATAGAACCGTTCTCTTCTTTGTTTCCGCAATCCTTTTCTGGGTCCTAAGTAGGGGAGGGAAAACGGAACACAAGGACGTAGAACAAATTTTTAATTTCTTCCTCCTTCCCGCTCCTCCCGTCCCTCCGCTTCCTTTCCCTTGTCTTCCTTTTTTCCCTCCCTTTGTTGTTATTATTTTTTGAATGGCAAGTGGCATGACTGATTAAGTCAACTGATTCTTTTGAGCCTGGAGCATATGTTAGGACCATGGATTTCACAGCTTGACCTTTATCTAAGTACAAAAGGGGTTCTTTTAACTTGAGGTCTCTCATATTTCAACGGGGCATCTCCTAGCCTGCAGTCTCCACCGGCCTTGTTGCCCGGATGGCAGAGGGAGCAGCTTGTCAGGCTTCATGGTGTGGACCGTGATGTCAGAGACGGCAGAAGCTGAATCCTACCTCTTCCACGGCTAACTGGGAACTTGTACCTTTAGAGCCTCAGTTTTCTCATCTCCAAGGCAGGATAAAAACAATATCTCATGAGTGGTGTGTAAATAATTAAATGGGTGCGTATTGCAAGTGAAGCACTGGACGCAAAGCCTGGCAGTGTCCAGCAAATCCTTTCAGTCATGTGACTTCTTGCTGATCCCTTGTGGGCTAAGAAGCTCCGAGAAAATCAAATCCTTTTGTCCTGACCTCATGCCAGTGCCTTGTTCACTAAACCAGGGCATGTGTTTTTCTGTGCCGGATGATGAATCTAGGTTTTAATTACTCCTCAACACAACAAATTAGCCAGACATAGAGACTCCAGTGGTGGTGGAGTTGGGGGGCGATTTTTAGAAGGACCTTTCAGATGTTTGCAAGACCCTGTGTGCTGAACCTGTCAACCTGACCTCCATCCGTGCCCTTGCCCTACTGAATCCTGTCTAGAAGGCCTAGGGCCTCACCTGTGCAGCGATTTCCAGGTGTTTCCACCAGGGGCCATGCAGTCTCAGGAACCTCATGCTTTCTGGGCTCTGGGCTGCGCTGAACTAGGGGTTCCCAGGCCCCGAGCACTGCAGTGGAAATGGGGGCATTGGGTGACTCCTGGCTTGGTGACTCGTGATCTGGGGAGCTTGGGAGAATTTGGAAAAGGGATGAGGAAGGATTTTCTGGAGGTGGAGTGAGAGAAAACAAGAAAGAAATTACCATTTACTGAGAATCTTTTTTTCCCCTTAGGTTCATACATTTGCACTTTGAATCCTTACAGCAATCCCATGAGGTGAATGCTGATTACCCAGTTTTTTTTAAATCATAAAGACATAATATAATTTTATTCTCTTTATGGCTGGTGTGAAACTTTCTCTTGGTAAAAACTTCCTCTATTAGGTAGAAAGATTTTGATAAGATATTTGGGGGAGGCTTAAGTTCCCCATTTCAAGTAACAACTAATAGCAAGTAAATGACATTTTGTCAGACAATGAAACTCAGATTATGCATGTTGAGGCAGAGAGGAACTGCTCTGGGAGCCTGGACACTGTATGGAGGAAGGGCAGAGAGCAGAATGCTGGTGGGGGCACAGGAGGAAACCTTTGTGTGAGAGAGATGATGCTTAGCTCTCGCCTGCAACACCTTCTCTACAGTCTACATCATGTACTTGAACTTCGGTGCAAAAGATTTTTTGTGCAGAGTTCAAAGACGTGCATATTCCATACTGTAAGTCATGAGGTGGTGTGTGCAGCGGAAGCTGAGTAGCATGCAGGCTCAGATGAGGAGACTGAGACAGCAGGGGATGAAACAACCTGTTGCATGTCATGGAGTAAGCAGGCAAGATCAGGATGCAAAGCAAGGACAACGAAGGTAAGGTTCATAGCCATCACTGCAGGACTGTCAAGAGGAGTGAAGATGGGCACTGATGGAGGGAAATGAAAGGAGGAGGCTGAGGTTGGGACCAGCACAGAGGAGCGGCAGGGTGGGTGGTGGTCCTGGGTTTCAGCCCTGGCTCTGCCTTCAAGTGCTGGATGACCCAGCTGCTTGCTCTAGCCCTTCTGGCACCAGGAAGAGGCGGCCACTTTGCTGCTGGGATGAGAAGAGGAAGAGGGTGCAGCTGAGGTTTGCAGCCTGAATGATTCAGGAGGGTGGAGGCCGGATTAGAGAAGTCAGGAGAGGGAACTGGCTTGGGCTGAGCAATGAGCCTGCACTCTCCTTGAAGCTCATCAGGAGAACAGAATTCTCCTTGGAACTTCTGGGCCAATCTGACCCCAAGGATCTTAAGAGTCCACTGAAATTATGAGTAGAGCTCTTCCTGGGTAAAAACCATGTCACACTGGCACCCAGCTTGCTAAGGCTCACGTCTTGCCTCCATGAGCCACCGATTCCCCAGCTGTCAGGTTGGAGGGGGTGTAATCTCAGCACTGGAATAGTCCTGAAAAATCATTTCTAGGCCTACTGCTCCCATGTCTACATCCTCCTCCCTCCTGTAGTTCCATCACCCCAGGTCCCCATGCACTCACAGGCTCACCCAGATGGACACCCATTAGCTGTCTCAGCTTTACCGAGGACCTTGGAACCAACTCTGCAAACCTCACCTTTCCAGCTGTGTCCAGATGTCTCAGGGAGGTGTCTCATAGTCCTTCTCTCCATGCTCTTAGAGGTCCTCAGGCTCTCACTGTCCCAGTCCCATGGCACGTTGGTGGATGTGGGCCAGCTGGGGGATTCCAGGTTGGGTGCACTTGGGGAGCAGAGGGCTGAGGAGCCCTGGGCTGTGGGGGATAGCCAAAGAGGTTGGGCACTTCACAGAAGGGCCGGGCAGAACCAGGAGACTGAGCTGAACTTCTGGATATTATAAGCAGTCCCTGTCTCAACTAAGAGAGCTCAGGAAAATCCAGTGGAGCCACCACATCCTGTCTCACCTCTCCAGAGGCTCTTGGGAGGGTGATGCATAGACACACTCTGCTGGACAAACTGACCTGATGCTGACCTGGGGTCCAGGAAATGTGCACTTCTGTGCTGGCTCTGTCTCTACACCCTCTGAGGCCTCTCTGAGGATGGAGCCTCCGTTCTTCCTTGCAGGCAAAGCGCCTCCGCCTCCCTGGGCTGCTTCCAGTAACAACAGCAGTGACAGCAAATAGCTCCTCAGTGATCTAGCACTTACCAGGTTATAGATTGGTGCTGAATACTTATTATGGATTCTCTCCTTAACCCTCACATCGACCAAAGAAGCAGGCTCTGCTCTCCCATTTTACAGGTGGAAAAGCTACAACCGAGAGTGATGCAGCAAACTCACTAATTGGTAGAGCCCCAGGCCAGGTAGGTGCCCACTTGGGGGCAGCATGTGAACCACATACCTCCCCGCCCCACTCCCCGACCCCAGGGCCCTTCTGAATTCAGTCTCCTCTTCTCTGGCCTGTGAAGATCCATGGGGTCCTGGGAATGTACTTGGCCAGTGAGGCGTTCAGTATGGGTTGTCTAGTCTGGGCCTGGTTATCCCTGGGACTGAATGGAACCATGTCACTGACCAGAGGAAGGTCTGGAAGCCTGTAGTGGCAGGGTGCCAAGGGGACAGGGGTGGGGCCACAAAATCAGCGACACCAGAGGGACATTGTCTCCTCACCTGCAATGAATTCTGCCTCTGCCTGGGCCTGGGCGCACAGCCCACTCAAGCCCATCTTCTTCCAGGTGAGGAGGGCCAGGTCCCAGGCCTTCTGCTCCCCGTACTGAGCCACCAGATAGGAGGCCACCTCCAGACCACCTGCCTTCTCTGGTTCAGCAGGGGCCCCACCAGAGGAGAGTCCTTGCAGCTCCTTCCCAGGCAGCCGAAGCTGGAATTCCTTCAGGTCCTCCTGACTCATGATATCCAAGTACATGGCCAGCTGCAGCCGGACCTCCCTGGCCATCTTTTCTCCAGGTGGATTGGGGGGAGCTTGGAAATATTCAAGGGGAAGGAGTTGAGCGGTGGGAGGTGATGGGCATCAGACAGGCAGTGAACAGTGGTCCCCCTTTGCCCCCTATCTCCCAAAACAAGACTGCACCGAGATCTTTCCTCTTCTGGGTAAACTCTGATCAACCTCCTGGTGGGCTCACCAGAACCCGCTTTGAAAACCCAAGGGCACAGGCCAGTGCTACAGATACGCTTCCATGGACGGGAGACACCACTTCCCCACTCCCCTGACATGCAGCCACCTTGGGTGATAAGTCGCAGTGTGCCATGAACCAGAAATTTCTGGGCAGGGAGCTATGGGGGCCTGGAGCAGACCTGAGTGGAATGGAACATAACATGGAACATAACATGGAAGGCAGGGGAGACCGTGGCTCTTGCTTCTGTGGCCCAATTTGTACCCGGGTCCTGCTTGGAAGGGGACTGGAAGAGACACATGGAGGAGAGAGATGAGAGACTTCGGAGAAATCCTTGGAAGAGTCGAGTGGGTGAGAGACCTGTGGGGCTGTCCTTGCCAGAGACAACGGCTGCGGTTATCTGACCTGATATTTCTCTCTGTCCTGGCACTCTGGGGCCTGCTTGACTCCTGTCTTGTGAATCCTGCCAGAAGTTATTTTAGACTGTGGCAAGATTTCAGACCTCAGCAGCCACACTTTGGGCCAAACATTTTTGGCTGGGCACCTGCCCATGAGGGGCTGGGCAATTTGGGAGTTTTTACTGGGAAATTATGAGGATCATTACTTCTCTCTCTCTGTACACAAATTCTCTTAAAGATCTTTCACTATGAGTCAGTTTCCTTTGCCTTTGTGTGGTAGATGGCTGGACCCCTTTGAGAGTGTGCATCTCTTAACAGTGTGGGATCCCTGGGTGCCCCTGGGTCACATGCTAACAGAGTAGCTGGTGTTGGGAGTGGGGCAGGGGAGGAAGTGGTAGGGGCCAATAGGAGGGAGGACACCAGGGAGATGGGGGCACTGGAGGAGGTCAGGGACCTGGGGTGCTGGGGCTGGGCCACTCAGGGGAGAGAATGTGGATGGGCAGGTGGGCTGGTAGATGTGGGTGATACTCACTGTTCTGTGTCCTCTGAGTCTTCCCTCTCCCGGGCCTGGGCTCTGGGGTCCCACCCTTGAGCTTTGATGCTGACAGAGGGGAATCACAGAGGTGGGGGTGTTTCGGAGGATCGAGCTCATGTGCCCAACCCCAGCTCTCAGCCCTCTCCTGGCCCTGGGACACCACCAGGAAAGTCCTGAACTGAGCAGAGCAGGAACAGTCACCCAGAGGAACCCCATGAGGGTGTGGCCAGGACAGGGTAGGTTGGACCCCAGGGAACTGTGTCAGTTAATCAACATATGGGCAACCCCACCGCAGCCCAGACCCAATGTCCAAAGCCACTCCCCTTGGGAGCTGGGCACTTACTGCCTTCTGCTTTTGTAGTGTGGCGGAGCTGGGACTGTGGGTGCAAGAGTGACACCCTGATCTTTCCTGTTGGGGAAAGGTTTCTGGAGGTGCCTGACATGACCTGGGCTGGAGGAGCCAAGCCTGAGGGGGCTGCAGCTCAGCCTCACCTGGACACTGGCTCCTTGGGTGGCTGATTCTTTCCTCTGGGCCTCAGTTTGCTCATCATTTTGATACCCCAATGCCGGCAGGTTTCGGTTCCCTTAGCTAAGAGAAGGAGCAGTGTTTGAGGAGAAGGAAAGCAGTTGAATTTGTCGACCCACTGAGGAGGGCGCAGACTCGTGTCTGAAAACCACCGTCCTGCTCAGCCGTCCCGCTCTTTGGCAGATGCAGGGTACTGACGTAGAGTCACAGGAGGGAGTGGGGAGAGAACAAGGGTCAGCATGTCTGTTCTTGTGACACAAATATCTGCTGATTCTATTTGGCTCCTGCTGAATTTTGCGATCATGTGACGGGCAGCACTTCTGATGTTATTTTGTATGGAAGCCCACACCTCTTCTGAATAAAACTGAGGTTCCAGTAGTGCTGTTAACGGGCCTGAGTATCAGGGAGCAAAGACCCAAACCAGCAGAACTTGAAACTTCAGGCCTCAGAGGAAGGCATGTATGCAGCCTCAGACCAAATAGCCTGAGGAGGCTGCTAAAGCAGTGAAAGCCCTTGACTGCCCCCCGGTGGTCAGGGACAGCTGTTCAGAAGGGACAGTGGAAATGGCCCAAAGGCACCTGAGTGTGGAGCCTCTCACTGTGCTGTGTGGTGAGCTGATGTCCGTGCTCAAGGGGAATCGGCAGGTAAAGGTGTCCCCAAGGCCAGTCATCACCTAAAGCACACTGGGCATCCAAGGCGACCTCTATCTCTCTGTGCTAACTCTGGGTCCCCAGTCTCAGACTTCTGGACTCAGTCCTGGGCTCCCCAACACCTCGAAATGTGCGGAGACTGCAGAAGCCCCAGGGAAGCATATCCCGCTGCGTCAATGTATCCCTAGCCCACCTCCACCTCCTGCCTCTGCATGTGGGCAGACGCAGTGCCCGCACAGAGCAGGGCAGAGTAGGAGGCTGTGCTCCTAGTAGGCTGGAAAGTGTGGTCAATTTGCCAATCCCCTGGCTCCAGGGAGGGCTCCAGGCTCCTGGGTGAACCCTCAGGTATTATTTAGGGGACACCCAAGACACATGACTGTGCTACTCAAGCTAATTTATTTTGAGATAATCCCGCATCATGGCAGTGCCCCTGTCCCTGGGCTCTGCAGTGGGTGCTCATCTCTACACCCCATATGTAGCATGGACAAAATGACCAGTTGTGCGGGCTCCAGCTGAGCTGGGCATCATCTCCCTGATTACAGCAGGTGTCGCTGCCTTAGGAGATGATCATGGTTGACTTGAGGTCACCTCAGGTCCTGCAGATGAACCGAATCCAATATCCCCCCTACCCACGGACCCCTCAAGGACTCATTCCTGAGCACCCACCCCTGTCTTACCCTTTAGAGCAGCCCAGCTGTCAGTGCAAAGAGTTAGTGACTCTGAGTGATCACTAATTGCACTATTCTGCGTCATCTCGCTGACACCCACAAGGGTTTGTTTCCTCTTCCCTCCTCTGTCTCAGGACGTCTGGTTCATGGCCCGCTGGGTGTGGAGCCCAGGCTGCTGAGGTGTGGGTTGCCTGAATGTTGGGGCGGGGAGGATGGCTCCTGTGCTGTGGCCACAGCGATGCTTCCTGTAACAGCCCTATTTTAAAATGGCTTCACTTATGTCTGTGTGTCAGCGTTGGTCCACCCGAAACAGGATGTCTGGGGTATGGCCGCAGACCTTTATGGGATGAGCTAGACTTGGGCCCTTCCAGAGAGGGCCCCCAAGGAGGCCCAGGTTTTTTTGAGTCCTCAGAAGCCACAGTGCTGCCGGGGGAGCTGCTGAGACTGGCTCTGCTGGAGCCAGTGAACCAAGAAACTGTGGACACTAACTGAGCACAAGATGCTGTGAGTGGCATTGTTGGGGTACTGTTCTCCCCTCTAGAGATTCAGATCCACAGGCTTTGTGGTTTTTCCTGCCTTGGGCTTTGCTGCAGCTTCCAAGCCAAGACCCAGAGAGGGGAGCTGCGCTGCCAGGAGGCTGCATGCACCCAGACACGTCCTGGATGGTGAGGGGCTCTCTGCTGAGACGTCCTGGGGCTCAGGCCACGGGTGTCATCCCGTGGAGTCCTGACTGTGGTCGGCAGAAGGACTGTGTTTGGGGACCGAGGCAGCTACTATCCAGGTCTTTGCATAGTCTGGAGGCTGAACTCGAGATGACTTCAATTTAAAACAGCTCAGGTTGACAGGTGATGTTGGTTGGAGGTGCTTTGGAAGGGGATGGGTATCTGCAAGGCACCCAGAAGAGGACCACCCTTATGGAACATGAGGAGCCCTTGGGAAGACTGGGGATGGGGGAGAATTGTACAACTTTTGAAAGAGAATGGTGATTTGGGAATTTATTCATTGGTTAAAGTCAGCAAACATTGGTTGAGAGTCTTCCCTGCACCTGCGTTGAACCAGGCCTGAGGGTACATGCATGCGCGCGCGCGTGTGTGTGTGTGTGTGTACGTGTGTGTGCGTGTGTGTGTCTGGGAGTGGAAGCAGTGGGACACAGACACTGATTGTGCCTGTGGGGTGGGGTCAGGGACGCTACTAGCTGGTCCCTCAGTAGCTAATTGTGCAGGGGAAGAATTAACAGAGGAAGGTGGTGTTACTCCAGTCAGAGCCCAGGGGCTCTCGGGGGTGCAGGGGGTGTGCTCCGATGGCACGGGTGGTAGGACACTGTCCTATGGGAGCAGGACCAGCCCTGCACCCCGACCAGCCCTGAGCTCTTTCTGCACTGCAGCTGCCCCCGAGGGAGGATGAAGAGCGTGAGCAAAGAGGGACCTGCCCTGTCAGACCAGCCTTCCCAGGGGCCGGGTGGCCTGTTGTGAAGGTCGGGAGGGGCCTCCGGAATACAGGGTGTGGGAACTCCCAGGGGCGCAGTCCCTCACACCCAGGCTGTGTGAGCCCTTCCCACTGGCCTTCTCTGCCTTTGATTGATCCATCAATACCTGGGGTGTCCCTTCATGCCCCACTCTTTTCTCCTAACAGAGGCCTTCTCCTCCTGGTCCCACCGTCTGTCCTTGTCTTTCTTTTGGAGCTTAGCGCCTCCCCGGCTCCCTCCCCTCACTGCCCACATCTCAGTGCCCGCTCTGAATTCTCACCCCCACCACACTCCTCATGGTCACCCCTGTGCACCAGGCCCCTGCCCTGCTGCCTCAAGCTGAACGCAGCTTCCTGCTGTGCACATGCCCCCTGGTCCCTAGTAGTAGGGAGGGGGAGGCTGGCTCTGGCAGTGCCTGAGCTGGGACCAGGGGGTCAATAGAAGGAAAAGTTGCTCTAACAAGGAGCTGGTGTAGTGCATGTGTGGGAAATGGAAGTGATGTAAGGACACCGTAAATGGCAATGATTCAATTAGGTTCCTATTTTATTTCAAAAGAGATAAAAAGCAGTTTCTTTTTTTTTATCTTTCTAAAAAGATTTTGTTTATTAATTTTTGTGTTGTTGAAGAACTGGGGTGTAGGCCAGAGGTGTTTGGGGCAGGGATTGAGAGGATTCCCCAGAGACAGAGTAGGGAGCAGAATAGGCGGATCTACTGAAATACACTGCTGAGGGGAGCAGCACGTGAGACAGGGGAGATCTGCTGCACCGTGTGGGTCAGCTCACTGGCCACAGATCAAACTGATAGCCCTGATACTTAACCCCTAGGCCATCAGGGAGTTCCAGTTGTTTTTTTAAAAAATACCCTTGGTGGATTACACTCAGTGAAATAAGTCAGAAGGAAAAATAAAATATAGGGGATCAGGGAAAAAATATAACAACAACAAAACAAAAATAAACAAGCGACTATAAATTAGAGACATTCTGCTGAGGAGGGGGAGAGAAAGGAATCCAAACAAGGGCGGGAATAGCACAAAGGACTATGGTGATGGTGCTGGGTGAATTGGTGGTGGAAAATCTATGGGGACTACAACTGAGAAAAGAAAGCAAACATTGTAAGGAAAAAAATAGATTAAAAAAATACCGTTGGTAACAAATAACAAGGCAGATATTGGAATTAGCATAAAAAAGGGGAAACTATGAGGAAGCAGACTGTCTCATGGAATTGTGGGATTAGTCTTCCGGAAGATAAAAAAATTTTTTTTCAGTATGTGAGGACAGTAGTAGTAGAGTTTTTCTAATATGTGTGAATAGTTTGTGCAACTGTCACAGGGCCACATGGGCCTCGACCTTGCTTGCCTAAACTGCCTGTTATGGAGCCCCCAAGCTAGTAGGAATTCCACAAATCCAAGCAGAACTTCCACCTTGCAGAAGCTTCCTGTGTCAGGCAATGGCTCCAGAACCAGTTGAAAGAAGATGCTCCCCCAGACACGGATGGCAGAGAACCAGGAGTGACTGAGGATTCACTAGCCGGCTAAACCACACCCCTGGGTGGAGAGTGAATCACGTGACGTATGAAGAAGATGTCACCTGTCTGCACATGCCCTCCTATGAACAGCCTGAAACTTTAGGGTCTGCTCTCTGCTGCCCACCCTGGTGATCAACCTCATAAAACCAGACCTACCCCCCTCCCCTCACTCTCTGGTTGAGTGTGTGACACAGGGCAGTTGCTGCCTCTCTCCCATTGTGTAATGCACACCAAGAACTCTAAGCTTGAAACCTATTATTGGCTTATTCAAAATTTGTGGAGCATTAATTGGTGGCAACCAGAAAAGATCCACCAGAATCTGTAACAGAATGGAGGGTCATTGGGGATCGGTGGGCCCTGGAACGTTTGTGACCATTACTTAGAGACCAGCGGTAAAGCAGGAGGGACAAGGCCATGTGCTGACGATCAGGTGGGGACACAGGTGCCTCAGGGGCTTGGGGCAGTGGGGTCTGAGCTCAGAGTTGGGACGTGTCTCCATAGGAGGAGACATCTAAACTGAGACCTCATCTCCAATCCTTGCGGCTCTGCCTCGCCCTCTCCTGGCTCCGGGACCCACCTAGACTCCAGTCACAGCACAGACAACAGAACATACAGAAAATACAAGCTCAACATAGACAAGTTAACAAGTCTGGTTTTGTTCCTATCATAAACCATTCAAAGCCCCCAAGGTGTCCATTGTCATTGTCTCAGCCAGTGCCATGTTCCTACCCCTTCCTCTGGATGCCCATGGAAGATCCACCCCACACAGGCTCTGGGGCATGTCCTGCCTGGTCCTCAGGTCCAGCTCCAGCAGGGCATTCCCTGAGGTGCTGTCACCCACCTGGGCTCTGCCTGTGAAATCCAGGGGGCAGCTGGGTGCCAGGGTGGCACCCCTGGGTATGGAAATCACTGCCCAGTGAGGGGTAACCATAACTTTACAGCGAGAAGGCATCTCAGATGCCACTTGTTCAGAGATGAAGAAACTGAGACTCAAGGGCTGTCAGGAGATCTAGGACTCATCAGGTGTGCAGAAGTCACCTGCCAAGCTGGGCAGGAGCCCCTCAGTGTCCTCCACTGTCCCCTTCTTCCAGAGTTCATCAGTTAGGTAAGGCTGGGTGTCCTTCAGGGCCTGGTAGAGGAGATCTTTGCCGGCCCAGTCCCAGGACCTGACGAAGCTGAACAGCTTCCGCATCTGGCCCTGCATGGTGGCCTCAGCTCTGATGGTGTCATACTGCTCATCACTTCATCACTCAGCACCTGCCCAAGCAGCCTGTCCAGGATGGGGTCCACTGAAGTCACTCGAGCCACCAGCTGTGCTCGATATTGGTCCACGAAGTGTGCCATCCTTGGTGCACCTGGGGGTGTAGGTGAGGCCACAGAGAATCAAGAGCAGTTCCCACTGCAGCCTGCCCTGTCCCCACCTCAAGCATCTCCATCACTTCCTCTGCACCCACCCCTCTCCAGTGATACATCTGGCCACCATGGGTGTACCTCTGCCCTCCCTCATGTCAGCATCCAGGCCAACACTCCCCTTGAGCTGGGTGTGGGGTCAGTTACTGAAGGAGGCACTGGGTTTCCAGTGGGGTGCAGGCTTCATGGGAAGGAGTAGGGATGGAAGGGACCTGCCCCCCCCCCCCAACACTCTCAAGGGTCTGAGCCCTGTGGGCTTGCAGGGTCTCTTTCTCCCTCCAGGGCCACATGGCGTGCCAGATCTGCCCCTGGCTCCCGTGTCTCTCACAGCTGCCACTGACCTGTTGGGGCTGGAGGATCCAGTGCGGGTGCAGGTCTGAGGTCTCCTGAGGACACAGAGAGAAGCATTTGAACAGTGCGGGGTATCAGTCCACATGATCCCCAGTCGCTTATCCCTTCTGAGATCCTGTGATTCTGAGAATCAATACAGACAGATTGTGATGGAATCTGGAGTAAAGCTGGAAGGGCTCTTAGAAATCATCTAGGTTGAACTTTTCCTTAGGCACGTGGGCAGCGGAGGCCCAATTGTCATGATGAGAAAGAGAGAGAGAGAGACTCTGAGTAACAGTAATTTCTCGCACAATAGTCTAGACATGGCTTAATCCAGTCTCAGACTAAATAGATCCCGACAGAGAACTCACCATGTCCTTCACTTAATCTACCTGAGCTCTGGTATCTGAGCAGAAATTTACCCACTTGTCCTGGATGGACCTCTAGAATCTCCTAGATCAGATACACTTTATTCTGGATTTGCATGTCAGAATGAAAAGCTAAGATCAGGAAAAACTAATCGCATGGAAGTATTTGTACATTTCAATAGGAAAAATGAACATGACCAACAACAGATTAACAGGCTTAAATATGACCTGCATTAGGAGGGGGAGGGACCCACATCCCTCGTGTGGACGAGACCTGGGAGCTGACTGATCATGCTCAGGGTCACCTAACTGCAGGGAGGGCCCAGGGAGAGGGGCGCTCAGGTGTGGTGCTGGGAGCACGGGGTTCATCTGCATGAAGTGGGGAGGGTGTCCCACATCCTCCATGATGATGGGTGGTCTCAGAGTCCCCCTGACTCAGCCACAGACGGAGCATCTGTCAAGGAAAGCGACTGAATCTCGAAGAGTTTGACAACCACAATATGAGGGGAAAGATGGACAGAGCCAGGGATGTTCAGCTTCTAAGAGGAGATGCAAGGAAGCTGGGGTCACGGCCTTCATGCATCTAAGGGCTTTCCCATGGGAAGGGGACAGATTCTTCTGTCAGCTCCAGGGTCAGAACTAAGACTGAGAGGAGGAAGAAACTATCTTACTGTGAGAAGACTCAGGCTGCTACTATTTTTAAGGCCCACCAGATGAACCATGTGCAAAGATCACTGTGTCTAAGCTTTCCAACTGCCCTCACGTTAGACAATCTGATCCTCATTTTACACATGAAGAACCTGAGACTACAACGGGTGAAGTAAATTTCCCAGGATCACCCAGCAAGTAAGAGCTGGAGGGGGACACAACTCAGGAATTGTGAATCTGCCCTCCAGGCACTTCTCATCTGCTTGATGACTCGGGATTGTCATTGAGATCAAGCCATAGTTTTCCAGCCAAGGTTTCAATCTTGTCAACGTGGCTTTCCACTGATCAGGTTCTGGGGTTCCTTGTTATACCTCAGTACCCCCAACCCACACTCTGCGTTCCTGGTCATATCTCAGGATGTATAAATCATCAGCCCCCAGGGCATTTCTGGTCATACCTCGTGATGCAGACCCTTCCCAGTGTGATCCAGCTTTATGCTCTTGATTGATTGCAAGGCACCTTGCAGGGTTGGGCTCCTGTACCTAACTGACTGGGCTGTTCAGATCTTACTTAGGATTTGGAACTGTAGGTAACAAAATGGTGGCTGAGCAGGGAAGCAGTACCCTCTCTCCCAAGGCCCTTGTGAATGTGCTCCTCCTCCTCTCTGGGCTCCAAGCACCCTCCTGGGCAGGTGAGGGCACATGAGGTGCTGGGAATGCACTTGGCAGGTGAAGGGTCCTGTAAGTGCTGCCTCCTCTGGTCCGGGGTCCCCCCTTGGATAGAGGAGGCCCCAGTCACTGACTAGAAGAAGGTCTAGCAGGGTTCAGGGGTGGGGCCCAAGGGGGCAGAGGTGGTGGGGGGAGAAAGATAGACAACAGGCAGAGGGCACTTTGTACTCACGTTGTTACCGAACACTGGCTTCAGTTTCCCTCAGCCAATAAAAGGAAACCGAATTTGAGGAAAAGGAAAGCGGTTTTATTTGTCGACAAATGAGGAGGGCAGCAGGCTCATGTCTGAAAGACCACCGTCCTGCTCTCTGGCAGCGGGCAGGGGTATTTATACAAGGGGGAGAGATGGGCAGGGGTCCGCGAAGGGACGCGGGAAGGGGTCCATAGGGAGACAAGTGGGCGCCAGCTCCACAAGGAGATGGATGGGTCCCAGCTGGTTTTCATCAAGGGGAGGGGGACAGGGTCAGTGTGGAGACGGGGAAAGGGTCTGCACGGAGACGGAAGGGTGTCAGCTCATTCATCTCCCAAGGGAAGGGGAAGGGGTCAGCACGGGAGACAGGTGATTGCTGGCCTGTTTTCATTCAGGGGAGGGGGAAGGGTCTGCACGGAAACCAGTGGGCACCAGTTTGTTTTTCTTCTTAAGGGGAGGGGAAGCTGCAACAAATGGGGAAAGACAAGCTACTAATCTTGTTAATGCCAGATGAGGGGGGACTGCAGGAAATGGGGGAAAGACAAACTTGTTAACTGTATCAACGTGATAGAGAATCCATAGCTTTTGGGTCATCAGCCGGCTGTCGCAAGCATGTCCCCGGGTCATGCGACTCCACCTTGTCAGCCTGAGTCAAAGGAGAAGACTGTGTATGTTGCTGGGGATCAGAATCCACGATGGACGTGTTTCTCACTTCCTTTTCTCGTGTTTGAGGTCAGCTTCTCCTGGTCTTCACCTGACTCGGCATGAAGGCGGCGGGCAAGTTCCTTCATAACTGGAACTGGAGGGCAGTGGGAGGTGAGGAACATCAGGCAGGCAGGGAACAGGGGTCCCCCTTGGTCCCACCACCTCCCAACACAAGTCTCCATTGGGATCATTCCCCTCCTGGTAAGCTTCTACCCAGCACTCACTCACAGCCCAGCTTTTCACACCCCAGGGAACCTGCTAGTAGGTGGTGTTGGGGGAGGAAGGAGAAGGGAGTGCTAGAGAAGCCATAGTAAGGAGGAGGCCAGGGGAGTGGGAGACACTGGACAAGAACAGGAGAACTGGGGTCTGGGGGAGAGGGGGGATTATTCAGGATCCCTGATAGGGTGGGAGGGTGAGGGGGGTGGGGGTGACACCCACTGATCTGTGTCCTCTGAGTCTTCCCTCTCCTGGACCTCGACTCTGGGGTCCTAGCCTTGAGCTTGATGCTGACAGGAGGTGGGGGTTTCAGGGAGTTGATCTCAGAGCATCTGGCTCCCAGGTCTCCTCAGACCTTGCCTGGCCCTGGGACACCAACTGAGAGAACAGGCCTCAAGCAGCCAGAGCAGGAAGTCACCCAGAGGAAAGCACACTGGGGTGTGGCCAGTGGGGTGGAGGGGTCAGGGCAGGCCTGCTAAGGGCACAGATTCAGAGCAGGGCACCCACATCAGCCACCTCCACAGACAGGCCAGGGAGTGGAATCAGGGCACTCACCGTGCTGGGCAGGGATCACACAGGTGCAGGCACCTTCAGAGGGGCGCCCCTGCCCCTAACCTGCATGTAGAGCTGGGGTGTGGGCTTTCTAGGGAGGTGGGTGTGGGGTGCAAAGCCACTTTCAGAAGGAAACGACAGCAGTCCCAGGGAACATTGTTCCAGCTGTTAGGGGGAAATGATGTCCTGAGCTAATCCCATACAGGCTTTGTGGACCCCACCCCCACTCCAGACCAAAGCCATCAAGACATTGGGAAAGAAATCTCGTCACCACTAAAGGGAGGGTAGCTGGGACCTGAGGGTGCAGTTGGGCAGCCAGGTTGGATATAAAAACCAAACACGTGGGCCTTGGGTGGCTCGTTATCGCTTGCCTCCTGGCTTCATGGCTCCTGGCTGGCGGCCAGCTCTCAGAGCGCCATTTTGGGATTCCTGATTGGCGGATCGGGTAGGACTCATTTAAAACTTTGTCTCCCACTTTTCTCCCAGAGCTGTACATTTCCTCATTTCCCCTTCCCTTGTAAATAAACCTTTTATTAACCTTTCACGTGTGCCTGCAGTAGAGCATTGATAAGTCCTTTTAAGCGTGCGGGTGAGGACCCACAGTCAGGCACCCTGTTTTGTATCGGGGTTGCTCTACAACACAGCCTCTCCTGGATTTCAGGGTTTCCTGAGCCCCATTGCAAATCCTGCCATGTATGAGGGGCACTGAGCTGTGTGTGGTCCAGGCCAAGGGTGCTCTGTGGCAGCTCAGCACTCAGTGAATCAACATTCCCACGTGAAGCACAGCTGGGGACAGCTGGTGCAAGTTGTGACATCCTCGGACACTTTCCTGTTGGGGAATAGTTTCTGGAGGTGCCTGGCTTGACATGAGCTGGAGGAGCCAGGCCTGAGGAGCTGTAGCTCAGGCTCACTTGGACACTGACTCCTTGGGTGGCTGATTCATTGCCCTGAGTCTCACTTTGCTCACCTGTCAAATGGGCCATCTTAGGTAAGCCAAGTGGTAAAATTTCAGCAACAGCTCATCGAAACCTTTAAACATTATATAATGATTATTTCTATTTTTAATGGACAATACCCACTGGAGGACATTCTGACAGTCAGGTCCAGCAGGAGATGGATGTGCTGCCCTAAAGAAGGGATGATGTCAGGAATTTGAGCCTCCACTGGGGACCCTAAGACTCTATGTGTAGAGAAGTTTATTCTGGAAGAGGGTTTGTGTTTTTTTTCTCTAGGACACCCAGCTGGTGTCCTACAACTCAATATAATACTGACATGAACTGCCCAGACTCAGCACAGGACCCAGGGGTTCAAGGGCTTAATCCTATGCCACAGACTGCTACCCACTTCAGATGGCAGTTGCGAATGAAGTGCCTTATCATCCACCCTGTTTGTTCATCCTGCAGACAAACTCCGTAGACCACACAACCCCACAAATCCATTCCTGTTTGATAGTTTCCTAGACTGACTCACAGGACTCAGGAGCAGTCTCCTTGCTGGTTTAGGGTGTAGGTTTCTGGCTCGGGACCAGCAAAGGGACACAGAAGAGAGTGAAGTGCTGGGGTGCTGGGGCTTCAGAGCCCTGTCCAGGTTTGCCCCTTCCAGCACCTCAGTGTTCCACCAACTGAAAGTTTGATGCAGGAGGCTGGAATGCAAAAGCCAATCAGGAAACCCACCTGGGGGCAGGAATGCAGAAGAAAATTCAGACAATAAACCTCTCTCTGGCTTTCCAATCTTTTCCCGCTGTGCAAACTCATTTTCACACCTGACCTCTCCTCACTCTATAAAAGCCTGCCTCCCCCGGCAACATACGGGGCTTCACCAACCCCCACCTTGGGTCTGTGAAGCTTTCCCGGGGGTGCAATAAATTTTCCCCATCGTTGAGAAACTTAGCCTGGCTCTTCTTTTCTTTACTGCGCCAAACCTTTCATCTTGGTGCCAAAAACCCAGGAAGGCTGTCTCCTGGCGCTGTGGCCGCCTTCCCATTCCTGGGACCTCTCCTCTCCATTGCAGATGCCTCACATCCACCACCAGCCTTGATTCTTGGGGTAAATCAACTGCCTGACCCTCTTCCTAGGAGGCCCTCGCCTCTGGCTATTCGGCTCCTCTCCTAGCCCATTTCTCGGTGGGCTGTTTCATAAACCATGGACCCATGTCAGCGGACTCCCCTTACATGGGGACCCTCGCCCGGCAGCCAGGGATCGAACTGGCGCTACAGAGGCTGTGGGCAGCTTTGCAGCCCAGCGCTCAACCGCTGCGCCACCGGGGAGGCCCTTTTATTGCAACACTGTTTGGCCCCAATAGCAACTGGATAATGGCACCCACTGGCCGGAACAGGGCACTTTCGAATTCTCGGTCCTTACAGACCTAAACAATTTCTGTCACCACAATGGAAAATGGCCAGAGATCGATCCCTTATGTCCAGGCCTTCTTTCTCTTGCGCTCCCTTTCAGGAGTGAGGCTTCCCGAAAGGCTGCCACACTTTCCAAGTCTCGAGACTCCCTCACTCTTCGCCCTCTCTGGACCCTCTTCAACATTTTCTGATCCTCTGGATTCTCTGTCTTCACCTCCTTCAGCTACCCAATCTACCCCCCTCTTTCTTTTTCAACTCCTAGCTGCCACACCCGCTCTGGGGATCTTCTAATCTCTCCCAGACTGAAAAGCGTCTAGACTCTTTCACTAAGGATACCACTATCTACACCAAAGAATTTCGTTGTCTTATCCAAGCCTATGACCTTACATGTCATGATTTCCGTGTTACCTTTTCTTCCACCCTGACCTCTGACAAAAGAAGTGTTTTTAGGTCTGCCCAAGACCATGCAGATTCAAGTCCATTTGACTGATGCAGTCATGCCCCCAGGCTCTGAAGCAGTTCCCCAACCAGGAGCTGGGGTGGGACTACCAGACTAACACAGACATGGACCCCTGGGGCAGGGCTCACTGAGAACATTTTATTACCTGTCTCCTACCTGGTCTCCAAGTGTTAGCACATAAAGTTATAAACTTTGATAAGCTCAGGGAGATTACGCAGTCTGCCTCAGAAAACCCTGCTGCCTTCCTTAGCCCCCAGTGCTCCTGCACCACACCAGGCTTGACCCTGACTCACCTGGAGGCACCACAGATCTGGCTACCCATTTTATATCCCAGTCAGCCCCTGACTTTAGAAAAAAGCTTAAGAAGGCTGAGGATGGTCCTCAAACCGCTATCTGGGATCTGCTGAATATGGCCTTCAAAGTATTTAACAACCAGGAGGAACAGGACAGGGCAGAGATGGAACTCTGTAGTTGCCAGAAGGTTGAACTCCAGGCACAAGTCCTGGTGGCTGCCTTGAGACCGCCAGGCCATGCTCCTCCAAAGACTGGATCAAGGTGGACACCTGACGCTCCATATGGTAGGCTGCCCCCAGGATCCTGCTTCAAATGTGGTCCAGTCAATGCCCCAACCCCGCCCTCCGCCAGGACCGTGCCCCATCTGCAGTGTCCAGGGTCACTGGAAAAGTGACTGTCCCTCCATGCCTGGCTGTGGTGGGCCAGTCCTTCCAGCCCCTGCCACTCTCGCCACCCGTGGTCTTGGGTTTGGCGGCTGAGGACTGAAGAGGCCCGGACTTGTTGACCCCAGTGATCTTCGAGAAGCCCAGGGTAATTGGTCAAGGCAGCAGGTAAGCCCATCTCCTTTCTGGTTGACACAGGGGCTACCTTCTCTGTCTTTCCCTCCTATTCCAGTCAAACTTATCCTTCTCGCTCCTGGTCCACTCCTTCCTAGTCCTGCCCACGTGCCCCACCCTTTATTAGGACAGGATGCTGGCCAAATTGGGAGCTATGATCTCATGGTCTCCTGACCAGGCAGAAGCTTTCATCCTCCCCTTGCTACCTGACTAAGATCCCCAAACCCAGGACACCCCTCTACTGCCAGACCTAGTTAACCCCCAAGTATGGGATGTCTCTACCCCAGTTGTTGCCACCCATTATACCCCAGTCCTCATTTGCCTTCAGGATCCCTCTTCCTTTCTCTCTTGCCCCCAGTTTCCAATTTCTTTCACATACCATCAGGGTCTCAAATTCATCATCCAACAACTCCTGGGAAAGGGACTCCTTACTCCTATCAACTCTCTCTGTAATACTCCCATTCTCCCTGTTAAAAAGCCTGACAGTTCTTATCGCCTAGTTCAAGAACTTTGCCTCATCAATGAGGTGGTGGTGCCTATCCATGCCGTAGTGCCAAACCCCTACGCCCTTCTGTCTCATATACCGTCTTCTACCACACACTTCTCTGTACTTGACCTCAAAGATGCTTTTTTTTTTTTACCATCCCTCTGGATCGTCAATGTTA